TTGCTGTAAAAATATCATAAGAGAGAGTAAATCGATGTCACCATTGAAAAATAAACAAATAAACACGTAAGACTTAACAAATATCTTACTTGAAGTTCGTGTATGTAAAGGTCTATTCTAGCGATAGCTTGATCGGCTTCATCTGATCGTGCGCCGAACTGTCTCAAAGCGTTGTCCACCCCGGCATATCTCAGCAAAAACATCTGAGAAAAGTAATAGAATAAGTTTTGTAATGATAAAATTAATACGCGTGATTAAAATAATTTACTAAAAGTCTTATGTAGTAATATTTGATAAGTTCCAGCGATTCTGAAGCCAATGAGGTCTCAATCCATTAGTGCCCTTGTCCACTAGAAGAAAAGCGGTGTCATCAGGATTATACCTGTTGTTTGTATGCTTGATACTTGATGATACGGTTGACGATTTCTGGAAATACATCCGAGAGCTTGTCTGTTTGTCCAGGTGTGCTCAGGTCGGTCCATCTCTTTGGAGGTACTTTCACAACCATGTCATAGTGGGCTCTCTGAAACAGATTCCCACTTGCTGAGGAAGTTCCTCGTAACAACAGATTTCCGTAACTAAAACATTTTTTGGCAGAATACTACTGCAAAGTTCCAACAGGTTAAAGGAGTCCCTTTGAAACTTCGCCAATATGGGTGGGGGAATGAGCTGCAGCACACGGAAAACCCTTCCCAGCACACAGGATTATGAGGACTTCCATGCAAGGGCTAGGATGTCCTTTTTAATGTGTTCGGAGGACTTTCCGTTCTTTTGCAGTTTTTTTGCCTTTTGCTTTCCATCCTCCGAGGGCATCCACCAAAAAAATGGGATTGATTAACGTCAATAACTTCATCTTACGTCCATTCGATATGAGCCGATGGAGGCAGGAAATGATCGCCATGGCCGTTTTTCATTGATGGCGGGCAATTTTATATCAGACCACCCCTAAGCCGCCCATTTTCATTTCGCTTGAGCTTCCCTGTCTTCATGGGGCGGAAGTTCGGATAATCAATATTTGTCAACAAGGGAGTCTTGTTCTCAAAATGAATTCAATTTTGTCCACTTCCCATAGACCCTTCGAGTTGAGCCGCACATCTGATCCCGGTTCCGAGTAGAAAGGACGCTTTCTTTTTACCGAGTCTAACAATTATGCTACCAATAAGACCCGATGAAGTCAACGGCTTCTCCTCTACGGTATCTGTTCGAATTCAGATGGGAGAGCGGCATAGGTAGTATGGATCCAGAGCGGTTGCTATAAGGAATTGACGTTCAAATCATGGCACCAGATGCACTTATTCCAACTTCCGTTCAGAATCCTCATACAGGACACATTGAAAACCGTAAAGTTTCTAAGGAGTAGGGGTGATTGCTATCGAAATAGAAGTCGTCCACCATCTCAGCCCGAACGTTCTTGAGGTACATTTTTTCAGCCAGGCCCTTCTCCCAAAATGTTCGTAACAATGGGTGATTGGCGCTGGCACATATAAGTGCTCAGGCGTTTGTTTGGGCTTCGTACCTAGCTTTGTTTACACATGGTTTTCTGCTTTTTTTCAGCTACGAATGAAATACGAGAGTTGTGACAGAGTTCGTTAATACTAAATTATGGATAGAACTTCACAGCTTGGACGAGATTCGGGTAGAGAGAGCTTTGGGGCTTGGACGTGATTCGAGTAGAAAACGGATTCAAACAAATAGCTATGGGTCTAAATGAACACAAATCAGTACTTATGCCTTAAAAGTAAAGGAGGGGAGAGGGAGGAAGAGGTAAGGGGCTAGACGTTTGTTATTAGAGTAATGAATACGTTCAGAACACAGAGAGCAGATACGAGATGTAAACCTTCAGAGGCTGAAAATTCTTGCCACGACTCGGCGCTTTTGTGATGGTGTTCGGTACAGCTCAAATATGAGCGTTTTTAAAAGTATTTATGGTAATGGTGGTATACTTACATGGCAGTGAGCAAACCAGTAACAGTGTACATCTATGCCTGACTTTCCAGCTGTATACCAAAGAGGCGCCGGTAGACCTTCCCACCATAGATCTTCTGAGTCGTTCGCACCTTAACCAGTTACACGACGATTGGAAAATTTCTTTACTATAAAAGCGCTGATTGTATTCAAAAAATGACTCTTTAATAAAAAAGGAAACTAAAAACTATTCAAAGGTACAATTTGCTCTTCATGTATTTGTGAAGATCTTTACTATGATATTTAACGTAACTGCAACAGTTGCTATCGTTTCATACTCAAAATCATTAAACTATACAAAAACAAATTTATTTTCATAATTGTGACTGTGACAATTTCGTGATCAGAAAAAATTGTGAGATATTAGTAATTCCATATTACAGAACTGTACAGATTTCAGGTAAGCCACTGAAAGTACGCAAAACTTACCTTTACCACGTTCAAAGCTCAGTTTCGTTTTTTTATCCCACATATAGTCGGCTGTCATTCCATGGTTTTCGGTGTATAAACCTGAAGCAATCAAAACTTTTAAGATATTTTGAAGTTCCAAACATCAAATTCTTTCAAAATTGCATAAATAGAAATTAAATACAGAGAAACATGTTCGAAGTGAAAAGAAGAAGAGAAAAATAAGTAAAATTCAGGAATTAGAGAAATATTTCGAGGAAAAACGCGGTTCAGGCTGCCGGACGGTCAAAGTCGAATGGGTCTGTAATAGAAGCAGCCTCAGAAGTAGCTCCCACACTCTTGTTACGATTATGATTCCAACAGTTAGAAACTAAGAGAAGTAAGAGACGCTGTGGACCAAGGACCGTGCAGAATAGGCAGCTGGCAATCACCGAAAAAGTGCCTCTACACGGTCAACTGTCTAAAATAATAAGTAGCAGGAATCGCTAGCCAATGTCCGAGGCCACATGACTATGGAAGATGAGGCCCTCCTCAGCTCAAACTCAAGGAGCAGGAAAATCGGAAAGTTGCACAGCCCCTGAGAAATGGAAATTTACAATTGATACTCTAGTCTGTCAGCTTCCGTATTTTGGCCAGATTGGAGAAATTCATGCTTTTTTGTCCCCAAAACATGGTTAGATGCGACTGTCTATGACTTCAGGAGCGACAACATTTCATCAGCTTATGAATGAAGAGTTTTAGCCGTACTAACAACTTTGTTAACAGACCTCGGTAAACTGGTGAAATGGTAGTGGTTCTTACATCCTCTTGGAACAGAGGTGCTACCTGAATTTTCGAATCATCGTGTTTCCTTCCCGGTTCTAGCCGACGGAAAGCCCAAGAGTTTGCTTCCATGTGTTAGATATCGTTAGGTTGTGCCTTACCTCCAACAGAGCTTTCATCAGTTCTCAATATCCATTCTACTAAGCAGTTTTCAGGATAGAAGAAAGTGAAGTTTTTTGAGTGAAGTTTCCTTTCAACATTGTCCGGGAGCTTGAAACCTGTCCCTGTCATTGAACGACCCCTCCAGCCGGGAACATCGGGATTTGTCCGATGGCACGATCGATGGGCCTCCTCGGTTTGGACATCATTCAACTTTTTTCGCTACTTTTTCGAATACGTTGTCGTTTTTCGTGGCTTTGTGTGATGAATTATTTCTTTTTTGCATCTATTCCGCCAAAACGCAATTGACACTTGGATTTTTTGTTACAACAATATAAAAGAAACAACGCCCGTTCGAGTTCAGCATTGATGGAATTTAACAGGCTTTGGAACCATCGCTGGTCTCGTTCACTTCAGAGATCATTCTAGCCTCAAACAAGTCCACTGCCACTTACTGCATCTTCGAAAATACTGGTAAACCGTGCAAATGAGCAGGTTCTGATTCAGAGGAAGTATTATTAGCAGCCACCCCAACGAAAGTTTTTACGTCAGGGTTTGGACAAGCAAGAACTTCCCCGAAGACTTTTTCAGAGCAACTACGTGTCGTATGAGAAATGACTGCCTAGCGACGATTATCACGGAGAAACTACTAGTAGTCGGGAAATGGTGCTTGCACTTTCTTAATTTGACAACCATTGACAACTAATTTTGGCTACTTTACCCATGAAATCAAACCAGTCGCCACAAAACAGTAATTGCTTACTTTTAACAACCCTCACCGAAACCCTAAGTAGCCCCATTACAAGAGTAAACGCAACATCGCTGAATTCGCCAAATGAAAGTTGAAACTTGTAGACATGATAGGCTAAAGTTCGGATCCGAATAATGTTCAGGTAATGGATATATTGACCCAATGAACCTTCCCTTTGATTCAGCTCCATACTTTGAACACTCGTCCAAATGTCTTCCGTATCAAGTTCCCGTACTTTTTTGATCCCTAATCGTTCCTTCGAGTAATTTTTATGTTTCATTTTTACTTTTACGATTTCATGTTTTGCAACCTTTTCATAATTTGAATTATACTTTCTTACAGAGCCATGATTAATTTCCCCGCATTGAGTACTTCATGCAGTAATATAGATGATAAAGGGTAGTTTAGAAAAAGTTGTACGCCATATGTTTGCAGCGGCTTACAAGGTAACCATGGGAAAACAGAAATCAAGAATCTCTTCAAGTTGCTCTCTAGGAGCAGTTATTGATGTATCCATCAATATGTTCGTGGGTGGTGCAGTGGCAAAAGGAATACTAACATGCGCATTGCGCATGGTCCGAGGACCGAATACCCGCTCGGGCCAACCAAGTCCTCTTCGTCTGTCCTAGGGGGAGACTTTATTCCTTGATCTATTAATGTAAAAATACATTAAGGACCACACCATTTGTACCATCACCATACCCCACTCACATATGCCCAGCCTGGTTATACTAACCTTTAGTATCATCAGGGTCATTGTGCAGAGTAGGTACCCACCCAATCAGGTCTACGATCTTTTAGAGAGGTCAAACGGAGTTAGAGGAATAAAATACGATGAACATGAAATATGCTATAGGAGAAATCGATCTGAACTACAATCCCACCATTTCTTCTCAAAAAGAGGTTCAAGTAGTTTAAGAAGTAGAGTTCGATGGAAGTACTGGGAAGTAACGGTGAGAACTTGCCTATCGCCAAACATTTGGAAGCGACGAAAATAGAAAAAGTTAGAGAGGAGCTCCGACCAGACTAAGTACAGCCCTCGTGCTCCATGACTGCTCAAAAACCATTACCTACTAATACCTTACCTACATTACCTATTACCATAACCTACTTCTAAGTAGATTCATGATAGTGAGAGAGAAACCTTTGTGAATGAGGGGATTTCTGCACAAACGGGCGTGAAGAAAGGATAAAAATGTGTGAAAAATGACGTCACTATACAAGGTAGACATATTTTGAAGGTAAGAAAGTACCTGTTGCAAGGCTCAGCCAGTTTGGCCAACTATGAGTTGGGAAAGTTGATCGCAGATATTCGGCTTGTACTCCATTTGAAATGAGTTGTTGCATTCCTGTAACCAGTATGTAAATTTCTAGCCAAAAGTGTTATTAGCCTATTCTATCAAATTCCTCCCATAGCTAACAAAACGGTCAACTTAAATCCGCAGGAAGATTTCCGTTGAATGGATCTGATTTCTAGCAAAAATACATTTTTTCAACGTGAAACCTCATTTGTACGAGACAGACCTCTCGAAGAGACTCTCGTGAAGGTTCACCAGAATTTCTTATTAGGCCCAGAATCACTCACAAAATGCGAAATCTGCGGTCTGGGATTACTGTTTCACTTACTAGTACTTTTTTGCGCTTCTGTGAATACACTACGTTCCCAAGCGCTTCAGAGCTCCAGTGCAGAATGTCATTAGGTCCAACCCGAAGGCACAAATCGGACAGCCACGTTGATAACACTATAGAATTCACTATTAGCTTAACTAAATGAAATCTAACTGACGAATGTCGCACGGTAACGCGCCCTACAGCAAACCGCGACGCAGTCGATTGAATTTGAGACAGGTGGTCTCGGGTTCAGGTGCGACACCTGGTTGACAAGTCGGTGTTTGTTCTGCTCATTACAATAGAACTCGCCAGTTGTTAATAATGAACCTGTTTGTAGTTTGAAAATGTAATTTTTTTATTTTTGTAATTATATTCCCTCAAGTGAACACAACTCGTTTACATACGGCTCACGGCTCCGAACGGCCACTTCAAGCAGCCAGATCAGCTGGGCTGGTTTTTCAACTCCTCGTTAAGTGGCATTTTACTGGCAGGGTCAATTACAGGGACTCTTTCTTGAAGGATATACGGTAATATTTTTCTGTACATTTGCTCTTATGAACGTGACGGAAAGAACTGTACAGCGTTGCCTTGATCTTTGAAAGTAACAGTACCATCGGAGCTATATACTCACCCTAAGTAATTGTGTATTCCCATTTGGCCATAACTGTAACTGTAAGTCCGCGTACAAATGTGGACGTTGCTATCGCCCGTTTCCAAAAGTTTACTATGAACGGGACTATGTTACCTTTTTAAGAAAGGGAGCGAACGTCTACATGCTTCAGATTGATCAGGGAGATCTGTTCTTGATCGATGATCAAGCCTGTTTGGAAGAAAACCGAAAATTTCGTTGGAAGTCCGGTGCCATTGAAGTAAAGCGGCTATTTTTTCATTATTTCTCCTACATATTCCCGAGACCTTGAAAACACTAATAAGAAAGTTCCCTTCAATACGGCTTTTGATGCCTTCTCCAGGAAAGATGCCTTCTTTTTGGCGAACTAAAAATTCCATGAAATTCTTTCATTGTCCGATGTAAAGGCCAGGTCTGGCCGCTTATGGCTTTGAGTCAGTTGAGGGCAGCTTTTGAAAGATCAAGGGAAAATTTTTCTATTAGAGCCAGTTTTCACTGCCCTCAGGCCCTATTCAACTCCAGTGGATATTTTTCTCGTCCAAAGGGAACTGCGAGGCCAGAGGTGAAGGAAAAAGCAAAGTTGAATTGATCAATGTTCCAGCACGTTCTGATCGATCTGTGAACGATCACGGGAACAACACGCCTGGCTTAACTACTAGAAAAACTTGTATATCAAGTTTACAATAGTGCAATGTTGTGAATACCAAAGAGAACATGGACAACAGCACAAATACTTGTAAAACGATCCAATACCCTTTGAAAACATACCAAATTTCGCTTCGGTTTTAGATTCGTTCAGTAGATTTGCACCATAGCCATCAATCAATAAAACGATAATATTCTGACCAATAGGATCTTTCGCAATAATGGTCCCAACCAGAAACAGGGCACACAGGCTTTGGAGCATCCTTTGAATACGGTATCATTTGACTCTTTTAATGCAATGCTGGGCAAAACTTAAGGACAAAGGCAACTCTACCATGTTGCGCTACTATCAAGTAACACAGCTCAATAAAACTTGTAACAAAGGAAGAACTGCTACAGTACTCTGAATTACAGTAATGGTTGTAGTGATAGTTATAGCACAGACAAAGTTCAAGTTACTTTATCTACCTCGTCCTTAAGTTTTGCCCATCGAAATGATAGCGACAATAAAGTCAGAAGGAATAATTGTTGTTATTTATCATGGGGGGAATTCGAGCGTAAACAACAACAAAACAAATCGTATTGGCAACGACTGGAGAGGAAATTTACGAGCTCATATTCCGTACGGACAACGTAGTAACATAGAAAGCTCAGGAAGACCTCATAAACTGGGATGGTCCACGAATATCTCGAACATGTCAGAGGGCAAAAGTATACATATCATACTGTTTACTCATGTTTTTAAGAAAGTAACGGCTAGTTTTATATTGATTGGTGGTTTATAACTCATAGAACCTTCTAAAATGACAAGTGTTTTGAGTGACATGAACGTGTAAAAATGAAGGGCAAGAGTTAGAAAACCAGTAAAACTTGAAACAGGGGGAGGCATGAGGGCGGTTCCGGGAGGAAGACCAAAAGCAAAGAACGAGACCAGAGGAGGCAGTAAGAAAGCAATTCTAAATAGGTTTTTTTTCTGTGGAAAAAAGAAAAACCTGGTGAGCTCATGTGCATGTGGGAACGAGCATAACCGGGTTTTTTTCGGGTTGAGAAAAGTTATGAAGACAAGATGTTAAACGTGGGGGGCCCCACATTTCAGCGTGATGGTTATTTCTCCCGACCGAGCCCATCCGACAGGCATTGAACAAATTAACGTTCAGATCGACGAGGGAAACGGATCCGTCCGGGCGACTATGAACGACGTGTGAGTACGCAAATTTGTGTAATAGCTGACAGCTTGAATGCACGACCCATTGTTTTATATAAATCGTTCGGCCACTACACACAGCATTTGTTCGATGATTGCGTAAAGATAGCCGGGGCGGATGTGTTGGTGTGTGTGTGTTGCAACCTTTTCTCGTTCTTTTCATTTGTAATTTTTTTCCGGCCCCCGAAAAATAACATTTTTGAAATGATGCTGTTTTACAGATGCGATAGGGATTTTTACAGAGCCGGTGGATCGATGTCAAACCAGAGCCGGAACAGGTGTGAAGGTGGGTGCCGACGCTGCCAAGGTGTGGGATCAGTTCCGTGATAGAGAACGATTGAAAGAGCGATCAAAGTTGACGATGAGTAACAGGCTTGTAAATGGACGGTCAACGCGGCTACCCTTCTGTACAATCGTGTGGGAAAGCCGAGATGCTGCCCATGGGAGACATGATGGGACAAATGACACCTAGTAGGATGTGTCGCTCTGTCGGCTAGCATTTTGTGTTTCATGATTCACAGCTCCTCCGACGTTTAAACATCCATTCATAACGAAAAATCGTACAAATCGTGTGTAACGATACGATTTCTGATTGTAGCCTCCTAAGCTGAAGAACTAAGAATGGTTTTTGCTTTGAACGTCATCGAATCGGCTCTGAAGGGCTCCTATAGAGTCCAGTTCTGATTGGAAGCCTTACTTTGCTTCCTTGACCAGCTAGAGAGCTTCCTACGAGACAATACTTTAATCTGATTAGGCTTGCTGTCTTTTGCAAGGGCTGCTTACTCAGTTGTAACAGGAATTTTGTGAAATGCTTTTAGTTATCAGGTCGTGTGGAAAGTACCTGGCCAGGATTTCACAAAAGTGCAGATTTCTACCGGAATTTTCTGGAATATCCCATTGAAGTATCATAAAAAGGGCACTACGTACCTGTATGCACACATCATATCAGGAGATTAAGGAGACGTTATGATATCAGAATCGGTGGACCAATTTGAGGTTCACCTTCGACGCTCTTTTTCATAAGCTGATGGGTTGGTGCGAGGTGTGCGCAGACCGTCTAGACGGGCTGATAGGCCAAATGACCCAAGCTTTAATGGGTTCCAGCAACGAAGATGCTGGATTTGAATTGGCAAAGAAGTACGTGTTGAATCTGAGAAGACAATTCGGTCCTCCTGTGGTTACATAGGCAAGAAATAGGTAGCAGTATTTTTCTGTGTCTGTGCTGGAGTAGGGTCCTTACATGGAGTCCATAAAAACTTACAGAGATTCCCTTGAGAAACCTCGAATTTTGAGAAGATCTCAGCATCTTTTGGCAGAGCCTAATATCAAAAGAATGAATATTTACAAAGGATGACGAAACTTTAAACAACGACTGAGTGAGAGAGTAACAGAGAAGCTGTCAATAAAAGAAACAATAGGATGTCTCCAATATGTGAATAGGAGATCGAACTAAAATCACTTTTTCAAGTAACAGCTGTTTCAAATGGCAGTTCAACAAGCACATAGACCACAACAAGTTCTTAAGCCGAAGGATAGTTGAGCAATTCGAGCGCACAAGCAGTTTTAGTTATTTTGCGAAATTCCCCCTTAAGCTTCCTCATTTTCAACCTGGGCATTGGGATAGCAGTAAGTTGGTAAGGGGTACTGAAGAGTCTGGGAGCCCAAAAAGAAGAAAGAACGAAGGGATCGAAAAGAAATGTGGAACTGATGCCATTTCAACATTATTGCATACAAAAATAATTATTTATTTTTTTGAGAATTCCGTCGTTTGCTTACCCACAGGTTTCCATAGGACAAGCGGTAGAATCGACGAGAAACTTTGATCATTTTTATTATTTTCCAAAACTCACTGCTCAGACACTTATCCTATTACTAGTATAAATTGTTGAGTCTAAGTTTTCAGCCAGCGGGACAAAAAGTGATGAGCTTAGGGTTCCGCGATCTTCATTAAAAATTAGGATAATACGATATTTACTACATCAGATTTTGATTGTTAATCAGATTCTTACTTTGTCACTCGTCACGAGTTTACTGCTATACTCTTATTTTACTACTTTATACTGTGTAGCAGTGAAGACTTAATAGTTTTCAAAAACAAGCTTGTTAACTACCTTCCTCGCGTCATCGACGAAGTTTTCGAAACGTCGTTCAATGAAATCCGTGGTCTTTGAGGCAGTAAAACAAAAGTGATGGCTTGTTTAAAGTCTTCTTCGCCTCTAGACCCGTGCCCAGACAAATGGTGCAGAGATAATTTGAAGAGATAATTATGCAAAGAAGCCATATCGAATCTATAGGGAATCAACAGGGCCTTATGGCCTCAAAGGTAGTCATTCCTTAAAGTGGTGACGTCATGCCGTATACTGCCAGAGGGGCACAGAAAACAACCAATGCAGGTTGGCGATTCCTGCCCTAATCTCCTTACAGTCCAGATATTTTCCTTGAGATTACCAGTTATTTCAGTTCCCAAGATCAATCACCAGGATAGGAGATGATGAAGAGGACGTTAGGTAGCATTCATCTCTTTCAGTGTTCCGGAGACCAGGAACTCGATCAAACGGAAGATGGATGCCTCGGTCATACGGTGGGAGGAAGTCGTCAATAACGAGACAACTATTTACTTGATTTAGGCTATTCTGCAGTAAAATATAAACAAGTTTGTTCCAAAACTGGTAGTGTTGAATTGGCCCTACTTGTGCTTGGGGTACGCCGCCTTACAGAGCAGGTTTTATGGTATATTATTGGATCAAACTTAACATTATCTTATTTCTGTGGAAATTAAATCGAAGTTCCAGTTTGCAGTTTTAGAGAATAACTGTGATATAAAGTGAGCGGGCTTATGTCTTGCGAGCACGGCACACAAGACAACTAACTATCGCAGCTAGTCATAACATGCTTGCGGCGAGACAACTAGCAAAGAAAAGCCGTAAGTGGACCAGACATAGTGCACACGCTCTCTTAACAAGTGTGTATCTGGCAGCTAACTTCATAGTATATAAGTAATCGTTAGAGTAACCTTTAATAAGTAACCTGACCCACCGACATTACCCTGCTCCTCTGTAGCGAAAGCGCGGCTAGAAATCGAAAAGCATTATCCACGTTCAATTCGAGAGTGCAGACACCTGGTGTGACAGTTGACAACTGTCTCAAGCTCGTTGATGAGCTCGACCTTTTTGTAGATTATTGTCAACTGATGAGAGATGACTCACTAATGAGTAAAAGTAAGTGTCCCGAAGTGTCCCCAACATTCGCCCATCCTGTGAAGTTCCCTCGGCCATCGAGAATTGCGCTGAAAACGTCAAACGCCTACCCTGACGGAAGGTTGGGAAAAAATAGGGCCCATCCACTTCACCATCGTGGGAAACAAACCACGCCACTGATTGTCAGCTATAATTGGTAAACGAGACATTCTCTGCCGTTTCGGGTTACCTCGAGCTGGTCGTGTAAACAAAGAGCCATGCAAGTTTAACTACGATTGCCATATAAAGACATCATGGTACGTTTCAATTGACAAAGAAAGCTGTCAATAAGGGCCATGGTTGAGCTTGAACGATGGTGAAGAGTGTAG